ATTCAACCCCTCAATCCTTCTTAAATTTCCTTTAAGGATCCCTTTCGATCCTATGAACTCTTTTTATAATCATTTCACCCTAAAATGCCCTTTCTTCTCCATAAACACCAATAGCAACCATTGGCTATAAAATGGGCGTACCAATCATTCCACGTACCCATAACAGACCAAATCATGGCATATTTTTCTATATCTGGCTTCTGGAATTTTTAAATACTATATATTTTTTACTACAATGTCTCTTACCTGCTATTTTCCCCTGAATGAAATGGTAAGTTTCTTGACCATAGTGACCCATGCATTTAATTTCCTGAAGCAGTGGGCCCCCCAACTATGGTCCCTGGCCCTGCAACCTCAGCATTACCTTGGAACGTGTTAGGAATGTAAATTCTTGCATGACCCCCAAGACCCACTGAATGAGAAATTCCAGAGTCGAGGCCCTGGGATTGGTGCTCGAACAAGCCTCAGGTTATTTGGATGCTAAGGTTGAAGAACCAGCGCCGCGGAGCATCTAAGTCAATGCCCGGAACATCCTGTTATTTATTCAATAAATATTTATGGGGCCCCTACTACATGCTCAGGATGCAGGGCCAGAGCAGAGCCGGCTCTGCGGAGGCGAGGGAGGGAGACAGATGTTAATGAAGTTATCTCCCCGATAAATATAAACTGGCAGCTGTCATGAGTTGTGTAAAAGGAGGTGGTGTGACACCTGAGAGGGAGAAATGATCTTGTCACAGGTGTGCTTCTGAGGCGGTGTCAACTGAGCCGGAAACCGGGGCTGAGCATGTGCTGTGAGCGGGTGCACATGGAACAGCGCATGCAAAGGCCTGTGTGGAGACGCAGCGAGACCAGGGGGGTGCAGCACTGGGGTCGGGAGGAGCCCAGCGAACCAGGGACCTTCCACCCCACGTTAAAAGCTGGGCTCTTGTTTTCTAAATCGGCGGGAAGCGATGTAAGGAAAGCTTAGAGCGGGAGGGCCGGGCTGGGACTGGCCCGGCGAGCGGACGGAGCGCCCCGTATGGAAAAGGAACTGAACTTGGCAGGACGGGTGAAAAGCTTGCCCGGTCGTCCACAGGCGGGAAGATGCAAACTCGGACCCCGGGAGGGGCAGAGCGGGAGGTGGGTTTGAAAAATGGTCTGGGAGGTAAAAATTGCCAGAATGTGATGACGGATTTATATTAAAAAAGATAATTAAGTGTCTGCCCAGCCGGGGTGGCTCAGTGGTTGAGCGTCGACCTAGGAACCAGGAGTCTCGGTTCCGTGCCTGGTCGGGGCCCAGGCCCGGGTCGCGGGCTCCATCCCCAGTCGGGGGGGGGAAGGGGGGGTGCAGGAGGCGGCCGGACCATTTCTCTCTTGACATTGATGTTTTTCTCTCTCCCTCTCCCTTCCTCTCTCTGAAGTCAGTAAAAACATATTTAAAAAAAAAAAAAAAAAA